GCCTGGGCAGGTTGATATATACCTCACCAGGTAATAAGGTCTGGGATTGCAGAAGGCTTGTGATTGATGACTCAAAAACCCGATTTAGCTCAATTCAGTTCTATTCAGGAAAGAAGTTACAGATACCTAAACTACTCTTGCATTGTGGAAAGCACCACAAAGTGGAAGAGACTCTCAAGATATGAGCAAACTACTTTTTTGTAGTCAAGACACATAGCAAGTCATTGTTCTGTACTAACCTGAGAAAGGCAAGTGTATTTTTTAATACAGACTGTTCAGACTCAACTTTAGAGATAGAAAGCCTTTAGGATTTATAGTCAAGTCCTCTACCTTACAGATGAGAAACTACCATCCAAAAAGTTTATTTTTATAAATATATTTTGAACATTTATTTCAGATATTACTTAGATGCAAGATTATATGCCTCTTTAAGCCAGTCCAGTACTTACCACATACATTTCCTAGAGAAATTCTGTGTGTGAATGAATGAATGAATATGTTAGGTAGTTAGAATAGGAAAAAGGAGTCCAAAATGACAGTGGATAAAAGACAAAGAAGGGAGAAGCATGAAAATGGAACAAAGGAAGGTCCAAGGATGGGAGTGAGAACCTCAGGTGAAACACACAGCCCTCCTGGCTAGCCCAGTTTACATAGGGCAGGCTCAGGGGGAGGAGAAAAAAACATATAAAAAGAGGAGCCAAAATCGAGCCCCTCTCTTTATTTGGCCGACCTGCCCTCACACCTTGAGGATGTATTTTCCTTTGCCTGCCAAATAAAACTGAGCAGTAACTGAGCTGTAACACTGGTCCACCATTTCAAATTTTTGCTGCAGTGAGACAGAACCGAGGAAATTACACACTCCCCCGACAAATAAATTCAAAGACTTGCCCAGGGTCACAAATCAGTAATTAGAGGAACTACAACTTAAAGTTCCATCCCTGACTTCCTACCAGGTACTCCCAGGTGAGACCAGAACATGCATAAAAATAGCTAGGAAAATTCCAGCCAGTGTCCTATATCAACTCCCACAAGATTGATTTAAGTCTATCCAAGTAGAACAGATGCTCCTGACTGATGTTCAATTCTTCCACAATGTGTCTAGATCAGTTCTCTCCTGACAATGATAATGGCCCTACAGATGTCTTATATGAAGACCCTCCACCTCATTAACTCCTTGAGCAATTTATGTTACATTTCCTCTTTGTTGAAAGTCAAGGTACACAGAAGCCTTGGAACCAGACATTACCAAGCAGCCAATACAAAGTGGTGTACAATAGATTAATGAATGAAATACTAAGTATCGAAAATCTATTTCCATGCAGATTTCCCTTCTATGTATAGACACCAATGTAGTTACCAATCATGAAGATCACTTGATATGCAGACCTTTCAGACACCATTCACCCTTCTAAACACAGATTCCTCATTTGAACTGCAAAACACAGAATATTATTTGAGTGATTCTCTTCTCAGTTCTGTCAAGGGTGCTATATAACATGTATTCTTAGGAGAGAAAATGATCTGTTAGGCAATCAATACTGCAGAACATTAGAGTTTGATTCTCCCAGGAAACACTGGCTGAGAAATGTGCTTGAGTAATCTGTATACCTACAGGTCACAGTTGTTCTTGCTATGCACACATGCACATGCCCATACACACATGTTTCCAAAAAATCCTCTTTTTATGAGCTCTTAACAATAAAAATGGATGCATTACCTCCAGAATTTTGTCAGAGGGAAAAATTCATTTGTACTCATGTGCTACAAAGTCATTGTTTTTTTCTATTTGAAAAACATAACAGGAAGATCAGCATATCTTTTGTAGATATGCAAATTGTAAGTTGAACAAAAATAGACTGCTGGTATGTTTGTTATGAGGAAAATTAAGTAGATTTTGTAGAAAAGTTGGACCCAAGTGCATTCCTCTGAAGTATTTGGGAAGTTATTTCCAACTCTTCATTTAATCAACAAACATTTCCAGAATATCACCATCTTAAATGACCTACAAGGACATAAAAAGAAAAAAAAAAAACTTGTATATTTTGAGCAACTGATTACTAATTTGTTTTCTTTACTTATATTGATTAGCTTAAATAATTGTGTTAAACAGAAGTCAATGATTTGTCCCCCATCATTTCATTTTGGTCACTAGTTTGCAATTGGAAAATCAATTTATAGTTGGTAAAATAAAGCCCGACTTGACAGGGAATTCACATTTGTAGATTGCCTGAAATATCTACCAGGCATGGTGACAGTTACTTACAGTAACTGTACTTGCCAGTTATACTATGATCTCATCTAATCCCCATAAGGTTAGCAGTTTTATCATTTCCCTTTTACAGATTAAAAATGTGAGACTCATATTCACACACTGTTGACAGAACTGGGATTCAAAGAGATTTCCATGCCCCCAACGTTCATGATTGTTCTAGGAGTCAACATACCTTCCTCCAGTGATGACTAGAAAATAATTTAGGACATTTAACTTATTTTTTGGATTTATATCCTCTATTATTCAGCAGAAAAAAAATCTCTGCCAAAATATAACCACTTTTAAGTTATCTTAACGTAAGATTCAAAGAAATGGGAGCAGTAAAATGAAGAAATTAAAATTCACTAGTGACACTGTAAACTTGACCCTCCTATCATAACTAATTCAGATGTTTAGTATTTCCAAAGAGCTGATGCACCATGTTTCACAAGAAAAGAAAGTAAAAACTCTGAAGACTGATATACCAATGTCCTTGGAATTTTGTGGTAGGGAAGACAGATATATAGAATATAGTCAGATGATTTAATTATGTTCTTTTAATCTCAGATCATGGTAATTATGTCAGGTTGGCCCGGAAGCATTTTCACTCCTTTATTCATTTGAAAATGTCAGTTTCACTTATGGTCTTTAATTAGGTTCCGAAGAATTAGAAAACATGCCCCTTATCTCAGCTAGAACAAGTGTCTAGGGTTCATCATCATTAACCTCTAGAACTGCATGCCCCTCACAGAACTGCTTTGGGGTTCCGTCTTTCTTGGCATGGAGCCTTGGGGAACTGCAGTTAGGAAAGAGACAACAGTAACCTAAAGCGTTTTGTCCAAAAGTACAACGCATAGGCACTTTAAGAATAGGAGAAAGTCTTTCTGCTAAGTCTTTTTCAACAAAGCATTAATATTTATTAACTTGCACTCCGAAGTAGAATGAATGTTTTATGATCAAAAACAAGTAACAACAAAATGGAAATTTTAACCACAAGCGACCTACTCTTCCAGTGATAAAGAACTCAGGATGGGGTTAGCCAACCACTCTCTCTGTAGTTCAGGGGTGAGGGGTCTCTCATTCACTCATCTAGACAAAAGAGTAATTGAATACTGCTCCATGTGATTACTGGAAGCAATAATCACAAATTTATGGCTTCCTTTATCAATGAGAGCCAATAAGAATGAAGCCATGAATTAATGTTATATTATGCTATATAAACAAATAAAGACATATTTAAAAGGACTGAAGGATATTTCAAAGCTCAGAATTACCCATTTTAAATTTAGATTAGATCAATTCCCAAACAATTCAGATAAGAGAGAGTTTTTAATTTTCAACTTTGAATAAATGCATGTCTGTCTCAAGTTTTATTTAAATTAATTCATTCACTATTCATTGAGTAGATTCTGTTTGCCAGGCACATAGAAATGTGGGGTTTTGAATCAGCATCAAGGTGTAAGATATGACTTTTATGAGATCTTTTCTACTAACACTGTCTTTATTAAATCACTTTGTAATTCCTTTATCAAACTACTCAATCTTACTACAGCTTTTCCTGATGAGTTATTTCATACCAAGTATGAACAAGAGCATTTCAACTCTATAATTAATGTATACACTGCATAAAGACACAGAAATAAAAGCCCCTTCACATTTATTTCTGTCTTGTCAATTTCAGTGATTCAGTACAGAGATAACTGTATGGAGATTGTGTAATAATGAGTTTGTTGAATGTTCCTTTTCATAGTCTTGAGTGAAGTTTTTGCCTAAATATTCTAATACATCATTTTGTTTCCATTGTGTCTGAACAATTCCCCTTTGGGAAAGGGGAATGAATAACCATGGATTTTGGAATCAGGCAGACCTGGATGTGAATTCTGGTTCTGTGTAGTAAACTCTTATAAAACCTATGCCATCTCCATCTCTGTTTCCTCATATACACAAAAAGCATAACAGCATCTACCTTGCATGATTGTTTCAAGGAGGATAGATAATGTATAAAGCAACTAGCTCACAATAGGTTTGTTTTTCTTTTTAGATCAAGTCTGAAAGACCATACTAAGCATTGTTCTGTTTTAGGTAGTATAATTCACCATGAAATTAAGATAACACAACCAAAAAGTACAACAGAGATGAACATTTTAAGCCTGATTCATATTCATCTCATGGGACAGTTTTTTTTACATTCAGCGTTTCCACTGAAGGTATCTAATAAGAACAGTGTGTAGAATTTTAAATAATAGACCTTCAGATTGCTGAATGAGAGCAGTCACTCCTACTTAATTCCCACCCTCCATCCCTAACCCTGCACTATTCTCCCAAATCATGACTGCTTTTCTGTGCCTGTTAGAGTGTGGACATGATAGAGAGAAGAAACATAGAAACAAAATAAACCTAAAAATTATTTTTGGTTTATCAGCATATATAAACAATCAACTTCAAAATGAAATAGACATTCACATGCCAGTTTTTGAGAACAATAAAATCACAAATTCTTCTTTCTGTATAAATCCAAAAATTAAATAAATACATAATCCTTTAAGCATAATCATGCTTTGACTAGAACATTTACTATAAACCTTGCTTCTACCTGAAACAATATTAAGAAGAGGATATAGACTGTTCTTTCACTGTCCCAAAGAATTTATTTCACTTCTCTCTCTCTCTTTCCTGTCTGTCTGATTCTCCTTTTCATATTTAGTACTCTTTTCTCTGACTTCCTCCCCTTCCTTTTGAAATTCTACAGGTTGTCCGGCCATATCAGACCATGTCCAATCCCATGAGCAAGCTCACTGTTCTCAACAGTATGCATTCCCACTTCATTCTGGCCGACAATGGGACCACTGGCAAGTATGGAGCAGAGGTGAAACTTAGGAGACAACTGGAAAAGCATATTTCACTCCAGAAGATAAACACAAGTAAGTCTACCACTGTCTACTCATGCCTCATAGGAAGTAGGATGAAAGTGAGGAAATTTCAAATGTAGACCATTATTTCTACATGGCCAATGGTTAGAATTAGAGGAAGTCACCTAGAGGGGGATAATTGGAGGCTCAAGAAGCGATTACACAATTAGTGAACTCAAGCTCATTCATTATGTATGAAAAATCCAACCCCGTCTGGAGTTTATAAATGCAAATAAGCCTTTCTTTCCAAACTTTTTTCTACATCCTTTACACAATGCTCTAAGGAGGAAAAGCACCCTGGAGAAATTTTTTCCACTTATTAAGCTATTTGGGGTGGCTATAAGAAAGAAAACAGTTTTTGATCTTAGCATAGATCTGGCTGTGCAAAGGCATTTCAAGGGAACTGACATTCTATGTCTAACCATCTTAATGAAACTTTAATTCTGTCTCTTAATTTTATGTATGTATTCATTCGCTGTCTCTAGATACCTACATATTTAGATATACGTGTGTATTTATGGGAACCATGTAATACTTAGCCTGTGGTTACACTAAAATTATCTCAAGTACCTATGTGTTCTATGCAATATTTATTATGTACCCATTTAACTATAGAAGGTAGCATTGTAAAAACAGTGATGCTCCTGAAATCACTCAATGGCTTGCATTTAAATATAATAGAGATATATAAACAATCCACTGTCCTTCCTCACAAAATAAAATTCAGTTTGTTTTCACAAAGTAACACATGGCTTCATGGCAGATTTAGGCTTTGTGGTAACTGTGTGTTCTATCAGGGAAACTTGGCTTTAATTGATTGAACTTTCAAAGCCTGCAGTTCCAAATAATAAAAGATTTTCTTTGGCTCAGTAAGTTTTCAGAAGTTCAGTGTAACACAATTCAACATGTCCAAATGGCTTTTCTCATCTCTTGTCTTTTCTCTGCATCATCCAGAATGGATTGCGCTTGCTATCGCCACCTTCCTTCCAGAACTGGGATGCCAGACCTGTCAGACCATAACTTGTCTTTCCTATATTCTGTTTTCTGGTTCCACCTTTTAGAAGCCACTACTGTTTCAACAGTCAAGTTTCATACCTTCATCTTTTTCACAGAGAAGTCTGGAATAATAAATTGTGATGTAGGCCTGAAGTCAAAATTATATTAGAAAACTCTCTTCTATCTAAGAAACTTCAATGGTCTTTGGAAAGAGAAAACACAGGATTACCAAACGGTAACCATCTTTTGCGGGAAAAAATAGTAGAAAAGACTAGAAAATCCATTCAGAAACCAGCAGAGATCAAAAGTAAAAAAACGCTATTGCCAATGGGTAGTTGCTATACTGAAATTGAATTTTATTATAATATTTGATAGAAAAGCAAATCTTATCTAATTAATGTTATCTATTTAGGTTTTCATAGTCTATAGGATTCCTTTTCTTTTTGTGAACCAGCAGGTTAAGAAGGAGCCTAAAAAGGAGTAACCTGAAAGCTGAAGGAGATGGAAGCAAGGTAGACAAAGAGCAAATGCAGGGTCAAGTTCAGTGCTTAGTAATGAGACCAAATTTGTCCAGACACGCAAAGCATGCCATTGTGTCAGGTCCTGAAGGCAGCTAGGCCAGATATATTCATTAGCGTTGTGAAGAGAGCTAGGCGTGTACTTGTGTAAATTGTATACTCAGCTATGGAGGGGCCAGCAGGAGCTAAAACCTAGCCAGGGCTGTGTGTGCCAAACCCTGTGCCTTATAGGCTGCCTGAGGAAGGATACTCTTTCCTAATTGGTCATTCCAGAGAAGACACCCTTTTTTAATTTGGAGATGTGCCTTTCCCCAAAGCTCCCAGAGGTGGCCCTGTGGGGGTGGCCCTGCAGAGGAGTCTTGTGGGCAGTGGCTGGGCCTCCCCGAGGAGCAGAGCCAGGCAGCACAGAGTTGAAGAGCAGGCCAAGGCTCGTGGCGTCAGGGGCTCTGGAGAACCCAGGACACCGTGTGCACGCCTCATGCCATTCGCGTGACACTGGACCCGTAGTGACATGCACACATCCTGACAAGTGGAGTCCCAGTCAGGGGTCTAGGCCACAAAGTAGGGAATAAGCACAGATCCAGGTCCCAAGCTGAAAGACAGGTCAGAAAAGCTGGCTTGAGACTCCTGAAATGCTTCAAGTCCACAAATAAGATTAGACCTCAGATCTGGGGTAGGGGCCGAGCCCCTTAGTTAGGCTAAATGATAGTCGCTGGAACAGAATGGGGGTAGGGAGAGGCAAATAGTCATTTCATTCATCATAATTTATAAACATAATTTTCCTCCTTGCTTTAGGGACTGTATTTGAGGCTTTAAGAAATCCATAGGCTTCCATTCAATGCAAATAATTCAATGAGAAGAAGAGGGTTAAAGATGCCCAGAGGAGATCCCTGAAGTCACAGGAAGTTAAAAGGCTCAGGACCAAGACTTTGCCACAAGTTGTAGTGAATGATGCTATGAGTTAGCTCTTCTACCAGTTCTATCCCTGAACTTGGTAGTGGGAGGATGGCCAACTTATTCTATTTTCCAGGGACTTTCTTAGATTTATCATTGAAAGTTCCATGTCCCTGGGCCTGCTCTGTCTCAGGCAAACACAGATTGTACATCACCCTCCAAATCAGACTCATGAGTCATTAGCTCTACTTCTCTTTTCACTGCATTTACCCCACAAAGCAGGGAAGCAACAACAAGGACCTGAGAGCTTAAGGAGTGACCCAGACTTCTGGAAGTAAAGAAAGACCCTGGAGATGTCCATTCAGTTAGCAGCAAAGCGAAGTGCCCGCTAAGAACCCAGAAGTCTCCAGAATAGGACTGACTGAGAAATAAAGGGGGAAAGTTGACCTGTTTAAAATAGGAAACAGCAGAAGTAAGAATATAAACTGTTAATGCTATTCCTCTCTCTAATCTGAACACTCTTTTTTTCTTTATAATTAACAATAGTTTGCTTCTTATTAAAAATAAATTTCTATTATATAACTATTCTAAAAATTACATCTTAATTTCCTTCTTCAAAAGTTTAAGAAATCTATAGCACAACAGGAGAACTCAAGTTTAGGAAGCCCTAATTTAGCCTCCTGAAGATTAGACTCTCCAGCAAGATACCAGAGTAATACCATCACCACCTTTTATGCCTGGGATGACTCCAGGGATGTCTGAACACACTCAGCATTTTCCTCATAAGGTGTGATTCCTCCTCATCACTTAGGGGTGACCTGCATACCATAGAAATCTTTCCACGAGTCTATTTTCTCGCATAAATGACAATCTTCTGAACAATATTTTCCTTAAATATTAAGTAAATCTTCCTCAAGAGACTTTCAGGCCCTTTCTCATCAACATGACGATCATGAATGACACCGTACTACACGCACCAGCCTCTTAGGCTTTTCTCAGTGCTCTGGCGTTCATTACCTCATCTCTGCCCACCCCGCTCATCCCTGCTGCCAGCAGTCCTTCCTGAAGTGCTGTCGTTGCTTACCGAAGGACTTCTTCGTTTCGAAAGGAGAATCTTTTTGGATGTGAGTGGCTGAAGAGCACACTTCCATTTGCAGTTTTCTAACCTTCAGATTTAACGTGCGAAGCTTTCCCCATCGTGCCTTTAGAAAACAAATACTTCTTGAACTCTTATTATGTACCAGTCATGATTAAGGGCCAGAAAAGCAGCAGGAGATAATTCACTGAGCCAAGTCAAGAGGAGCAAGCAAATGAATAAATGAATAGGTAAATACATGTAGTAAGAAAGCCATTAAGAAAAATAAAACAGAGGAAGGTATATATGTGTTTCTCATGGGTACATGTGCCTGCATGCATGCACATGTGTGTGTCGGGAGGAAAGTTTAGATTAGGTGATCAGGAATGGCCTCTGTGATGGTATAATGTGTAAGCAAAAAACTGAATGAGGTCAGGGAGCCAGCTCTGAAAAGAGCGTTCTGGAAAGAGTGAAAGCAAGAACAAAGACCCAGGTCCTTATATGCCAGTAGTATCAGCTGAGATGACAAGCTCCCTCTTAGAGTTGGATTTTATTCTAACAGATCTGATCTGGCAAGTTTCAGCATCTCCCTAATGGTTTAAAACATCACTCCGCTGTTGTGTGTAGAGATCTGACTGACATGGGGGCAAGATTAAAGGCAGACAGATGTTTCAGTAGACTGTTATCATAATGCAGGTGAGAGATGACAGTATTTCAAATTAGGGTGGTAATAAAAGTAGTAAAAAGCAGTAGATTCAAATATATACATATGTGGTAAAATATACATAACATAAAATTTACTATTTTAATATTTTTAAGTATGCAGTTTAGTGTGTGAAATACATTTACATTGTTGTATAATCACCACCACTAACTATCCTCAGAAATTTTCATCATTCCAAACTGAAACTCTATATGCATTAAACACTAGCTTCTCTTTATTCTCTCTCTCCAGTCCCTGCTAACCATGATTCAACTTTATATCTTTATGAATTTGCCTGTTCTAGACACATCATATATGTAGAATCATACAATATTGGTCCTAAGATATATTTTGAAGGTAGAGCTTAAGAAGAGTTGCTATAAATTGAGTATTCAGGAGAAAGAATAGACACATCAAGGTTACTGCACAGTCATCCTTACAAACACCAGCGTATTCTTAAAGAACAGGGCTAGTGGGAGCCCCTAATGAGTAAGTTCTTACAGAAAGAAAAGGGAGTTGAAAACCAGTCTCAGGGGAGGTGAGACAAAGTTCGTGAGGAGAAGGGAGATGTTGAGATTCAGTGCACAATGGAGAATGTGGCCCTCGGCAGGTCAGGGGAGTTGCATCCTGGGTGAAGGCAGAGTTTATGGGCACAGATGTGGATGGGATGGAATATTTTCTGCTGGGAAGTTTGGGTAGTTCTCTATAGATGCCTTCTGTATCTAAAGAAAATAATACAAGAGATCATTGGCTAAGAGTGTGAAAGGGGAAGAGGTATAGAAGATTAGGGAGGAAAAAAAGAGAAAACAATTGTAGAGTCCCAGAG